GTACGTACGTACGTACGTACGTACGTATGTACGTACGTTCGTATGTCAGCATTTTTTTCGTTTTCGATATCTCAAGAACGGATTGAGATATCGCCCTCAACCAAAATTTTTTCGAAAGATATTATCATAATGAAGATCTGAAAGAAATTTGAACGAAATCGGTCAAGCCGTTTTTTTTTTATAAAAAAAAAACGAATTAATTACAAACAATTTAATTAAAATACGTTCTAATCTAATCACAACAATGAAGTTACGGAATCAATAATAACTGTATTATCTAATGGGAAGTTAGTCGTATTAGCACCGACCAAAGCGTGCTCAGACCAATTTTTTTGATTTTTTTTATTCTCGTATTGTTTATTTATTAGACTAGATCAAGTGTCGTTAATTTATGTATATGTTTGTAACAGCCAATTTCTAGTAGTCGTTTATTCTCTTAATGTTTAAACCTTGTGCAGTTCAATAAATTAATTCAGTAATACAACATCAATTATTAGTAGAGATCAGTCTCTGTAGAACAGTTATTGTTAATGTGATATAATACGTATTTGCGGGCTTGGACCATAACGCTGCTGTAGAGATGAAATCCTCAATTTAAAAGAAGACAATCTATCAAAATTGTAGTACATGCGAAATAGCAGGAAACTTTAACTGCAAACTGGTATCATCCAATCGTAACTGTCCAAATGTAATCGTTGGTTTAGTCAATCCTGTTGTTGTGTAACTTCCCATGGGAGAACTGTCACTAACTCGTCTCTCACAAGTCAAGCCCTTCCTATGGTCGGGGGTAAATTTCGGCGATTTCTTTAAGATCTTTTTGTCCAAACACTGAGATGTCAAAAGTACCAAAGTTTACTTATGCCTCTTCGTATGCTTTACCACGAAATCAGTTTTTCTCGAACTGACTACCTTACGTCGATTTTTGGCATGTAGGGGTTTTTATTTGCGGTATTTTGTTGGAGCCAATAAAACATTAGTGCACCTCTTCAAGAAAATTTGCCAAAACAAAAAGATTCGATCTTCTCACCTATATTTTTGTTCAATTTACACAATTACACATATGTCCTAAAGTCATGGTTTCAATTGAAACGGTCAGTAATAAATAGGGTTAGTTGGAGAATAATTGTAATTGCCGTAAATCCTTTTATTTGTTCCTCATCCCTCAGCATCCCATACGATACCTGTTTAGAACAACAGATATTGTGGCTTGACCAAGATCATATTGCAGTTCTGAGCAAATCTAACTATGCGTCATTAGTGTGCACGGCGTTCCGTCACCTAACAACTACTAGCAAATTGATCGTGCCTCGCCATGTGGTGGAGTAAACGTAGTCAAAGAGGCACTGTTTAGGAATAATTTGTAACTAATTGCAAATTAACAAAAAATTTTGAAATGTATTCTAACGTCTAAACAGGTTAAAGTTCAATGTCTGTCGTTAATTGGTGTTGTATGCTAAACTCCTATTTGTTTATAAATAATAAAAACTGCAAAATTAGCTGTTAAATGATACATCTNTAGCAGGAAACTTTAACTGCAAACTGGTATCATCCAATCGTAACTGTCCAAATGTAATCGTTGGTTTAGTCAATCCTGTTGTTGTGTAACTTCCCATGGGAGAACTGTCACTAACTCGTCTCTCACAAGTCAAGCCCTTCCTATGGTCGGGGGTAAATTTCGGCGATTTCTTTAAGATCTTTTTGTCCAAACACTGAGATGTCAAAAGTACCAAAGTTTACTTATGCCTCTTCGTATGCTTTACCACGAAATCAGTTTTTCTCGAACTGACTACCTTACGTCGATTTTTGGCATGTAGGGGTTTTTATTTGCGGTATTTTGTTGGAGCCAATAAAACATTAGTGCACCTCTTCAAGAAAATTTGCCAAAACAAAAAGATTCGATCTTCTTTCCGCTTCGCATTTAGGGGAATTGCGAGGCTAGCGTAAAGCCTATTGAATCCCTTTTAGTCAAAGTCATGGGCGAGCAAGTACTGACATTTGAATAGTTTTATACTTTGCTTACCCAGATAGGGGAGATGCTTAATTTCATCCCAATGATTTTGCAGCTCTAACTCCTACCTTCGTCAAGACTGTCCCTTTTCGGTACATCCAAACCCAGAATTTTCTCAACTATATAATTGAATCTTTAAAAAAAATAGATCATAATTGTCCGGGTGCATGCTTCAAAGTGTATGGAAAACATGGTCCCTTGAATATATAAATAAAAAGTGTTTCTGAAATAAGTAATAAACTTGCAGGAGGTGATTAGGCACCATAAAACAAGAAAATTAAGTATATGTTTGGTGGTCCGAAAATCCACCGTTTTCGAAAAAAAAACTATTTGAAAGTACAGGCAAGGGCGAGTCCGGCCCTAGTAAGATCACGCAGGGAAATACATTGTAACACCGCATTCAATCAGCTGCTACTTAGCAGCATCAGTGTTGTATTTCTATTAAATTTTTGTACTCATGTATTGTTTGTTAGATTAAATTACAAGTGTTATTGACGATGTCTATGCTTACAGCCAGCACAGTGTGGTTCTTTGTTTTATTAACGTTGTAGACTTGTATTACGTATGCACGTAGACAATCGAAGTCAATAGAAGTAGGTCAATGTGTCAGTATCATAGTTCAGTGCAGAATTACAAATCAAAACAAACACAACAATACATATACAGTACAGCGTAGGCGCGATCTGCCGACAATTAGCCGAAATGGCTGTTTTCGGATTATCGGTTGCTACTAACAGACTAGCTTCTGAAGCCTGTTAAAATGACTCCTTTTGGACATATCCATCAGGGGTCACACGTGGCGCGTGATCCTGTGATGCGTGACGGTACACTTTTCAGTTTTATAACCTAGTAAATTTCCTTCCTACCGTCAATAAAGAAATTTCACTTCAAACATAAACACATTTGATTAGTGGGTTTCACTCACATGCCTCTATCAAGAATTCTTTTTAATAGAAAGAAATATTGGAGCCTCGTCAAAATTAAGCTACTCTCGAAAATTCAGCACGTTAGTGATCGCTTTAAAAAGAGAGTCCCATACAGTATACCTAGCACACACAACATATAAATGGAAGTCAAGGAAACAGTCGGGCTATCATTTGTTCTTGCATTTGATTATCTCCTGAATTTTTAGAAAAAAGCACTTTAAAGGATGACTATGGGAAATTGGTAAGTACAGAAAAAAATTACTGAAAAATTGAAATTTTTCAAAAACTACTGATGCTCAACTGTAGATAATAAAGAGACTGATGCCACCTACGATACTTTTCACTAATCGTAAACACAGTAATTAACAATAAACATGGCAATATGTTCACATATCCTTAACCGTTTAAAACGTTATCCTTTTCTATTATGATTTTTACACATAAAAACGTTTGCATTTTCTCACCTTATGACAATCTTTGCATAAAATATCAACTTTACAAATACTGTATTCAGCAGGCATTGGTGTGCGGGCAACTTCGTTATCTAGATACTTCCATAACTGTGTCATATCCATCAATGAAGTTTGGCAAACCGGACAAGCGTAATGCCCTGCTTGAAGAAGCTGCTCAAAACAAACACGATGTATAAGATGTCCACAGTTAGGTATGTGACATGGAGTACGAGAGGTGTGAATATCTTCCAAACACACTGGACAGTTAGCTCTGGATACATTCTCTACACACTATAACAAAAAGAACACTAAATTCTAGAAAATAAGCTAAATAAAATAAAACACCACAATATTATTCTAAAAATATCCCATATAAGAGAACAATCAGAACTTCAAAGTAAACTTTACATCATAAAGCGAAACGTACGTACGCCAATCGGCTGTGTACAACAAGAAAAAAAATGTCAATTAATATGTTTGATTTAAACTAAATTACTGTTACAAACCAAGACACCATTATAGTAGTGTATACAATGTATATAAATAAAATAGAAAAAATAACACAGGTCTGCGATAAAAAGGTTTTTTGTATAAATTTATCTTAAGCATGCAAATGTTGGTCTATATTTTGCAAATATAAACTTTATTTTAACGAACAAAATAATTCGAAGTGGTTTTGTTCGATTATGGTAACGTGCCTATCACGTTGAGGTGAGCTACGCCGGGATTCGTTTCAGGAAGTAGATGGATTTTAAATGGACCTTGTTGGAGCAAATGTAATCCTCAAATGTAGCATCGTACTACAGATGGCGCTCATTTGTAGTATTTTCTTTATTTTAACGTATCACGTCACACTTTATTTTTGTGTATAGATTAATATAGGTATGTATATATATCTATAGCTCTTTGAATAGGCAAATTTATTTGTTTTTTCACCAAATTCATTTTATAGCTTATATTTCTATTTAATACTCTCTGACTGAGCATTATATTGTCTTTTACTTTATTTTAGATAGTCTGAAAGTAACTATAGTCGTTTACACCGCCTGAAAAAGAAATAGTTTATAGCGCGCCATTATTGAGAGAGATATAATATTAACGTGTAATAAAAGATTGTGTTTCATTTATCTTTAACTATGGCTTCTGTAAAAACAATTCAACAGACTTTGTAAAAAATGCTCATTAAGCTTACTTCAGAATGAAGTTGTCACCAAAATAAACAGTGGGTTACGATAAAATATGCCGGTTATATGTTGAAGTGTTAAGACAGTGGACTTATGGTAAATCAAAATCATTGTTATTCGGTATTTCTGTCCAAATTAGAATGCAATTGGAAGTCGGAGTGAAAAATGTCATCAATACGAGTTTGAAAGAAGAAAGTATTACTTCCACCACTTTACATTAATCTTGGTTTAATCAAACAGTTTGTAAAGGCATTTTATCATTACATGGTAAAAATTATTTCAGGTGAAATTTATCCAGACATGTGATCAAGTAAAAGTAAATGGAGAGCACCTTCATGGTTTCCATAAAAGCAGTGGACAGGAAACCGAATTAAATAACGGAGGCAACGTAAGAACAAATTTGTAAAAAACAGTGTTAAATGTATGTTTTTGTTGCGTTTGAACACAGGATGCCGCTGTTATACTTTGACCTTTGGCTTATGGCGTATCGACCCTGTGTCGGAACAGGGTGATACGCTGGTACGATAGTTAGGAGTAGTAGTTAGTAGTGCGTAAGTAGTCGAGTAAGAAGCAAGACTGCATTTAATGGCAGTATTTCGTTTATAGTTTTGAGTTTGCATGTGCATTATTTTTATTCAATAATATTTCATCATTTTACTTTTATTCCTTTGCATTATTTCGTTTTGCCTACTTCTACCGGTTTCTGACAAACAGATCTTTAACTGAAACAGTTTTTTTTTATTAAACTTAACAATTGTTTTGCTAAAGTTTAAACTGTGGTTTCTTCAGAATTTATGACTAACTTAAACCTAAAATTACAGTTTCACTGATATATTTTAAAAAGTAGAAGCAGAGCATATATTCAGTAATACGGAGTGACTATAATCGCTGCTTTTATATTTTTTAATCAATATATATGTTAGGCCCGAAGACCGAAAACGCTCAGTGGCCGGAAAAAACGACCACATCGCGTTCTGGCTGCCTTCGAACGCACAGAACGCGTTTTGGATGTTTTTAAACGCTCGCAACGCGTTCTGGTAACTGTTAAACAGCCGGAACGCGTTTTGTTAATTGTCGAACGCTCACAACGCGTTCTTAATGTTCGATTTGTATTATTTGCCGCTTTCTACCTGTGTACAATGAGATTTATTTTGTACTCCACAATAAGTTAAATGTGTAGAAAATAAATCGAAATTCATTTGTTTAATGAATAACTTTTCACTTTTTCATTCATTCATTCATATATCATATGCTCGGCAATATAAGTGTTCAGTGTAGCTTTCTTCCTAGAACTGAAAAACAATTATAAGAAATTTAATATTGTTGAAATGATTCGGCGAGAAAAACCGAACCCATCTTTGGTATCCAGTTATAGTTGTCAATAATTGAATTGTTTCCTAAAAACTGAAAAACGGATTGAAATTCATTTGTTTTATAAGTACAATATAAATCATTGTACGCAGGTGGAAAGCGGCAAATAATACAAGTCGAACATTAAGAATGCGTTGTGAGCGTTCAACAATTGACAAAACGCGTTCCGGCTGTTTAACAGTTGCCAGAACGCGTTGCAAGCGTTTAAAAACAGCCAAAACGCGTTCTGTGCGTTCGAAGGCAGCCAGAACGCGATGTGGCCGTTTTGTTCGGCCACTGAGCGTTTTCGGTCTTCGTGCCTAACATATATATATATATAAGAAAATGTTAGTGGGTTTATCGAATCTTTTTTCCATAACCACCTACTATTATCCACTCATGGTTGTAGTGGTAGATAGATAGATTTCTGATGGATTTCTTTCTTTTTCTAGAATATTGTATGACTTATTTAAAATCGAGGTTGTGTTGAATGACGTTAAGTGTATATGTGTGACAATGATAAGGACTTCTCCGGAATATTCCAGATTGTATTCAAATATAATTGTGTTCTATAATGTTGTAAAACTACAAATTTCAATCATTGAAATATATATGTCATCGTAAAATTGTAAATACCGTTAGATTATAATCCATCTCGCGACATTGTAAACTGTTAAATGATTGTGAACCGGAACATGTTATTTTCTATCGAAGTGAAATTGTTAAATCAGAATCTGTCGCGTGTTAAATTGTCAACTGTCTGATGGCTGTCTCTGATTGATCGCTCATACTGTAGGTGAATTTTGTTTCCACGTCTATGTCCAGTAGCAATATGTGCCTCGAGTATTCTTTGGTAATACTCTTCCTTTGGAATTATTTGTACTTCATTATTAAAACTTTCTGGTTAACAATATTCATTATATCGTATTTTCTTGCACAATTTTAGACTTATTTATATATTCGTTTTTATTTGACTATGCCATTTAAAATTATGGTTCAAATAAATATAAATAAACAATCGTCTATAATGTCATAATGGCGGATCAGAGCGAATTAATCGACAAAGTAAAAATGTATTACTTGCTAGAATAACAAACACTTTTGCTGAAATAACAGCTGAGGCCAAAGGCAGACCTAAACGAGTACCTAAAATAATTGTTAAAAAAGAATAACAAATAAAAAAAAATTGATACAATTAACCAACATGCCTCGCATTATTTAATAAAAAAAATCTAGGTATACAAACTAAAAAAGTTTATAAGAAAAATGACAATAAATTAATTATGAGCTGTTATTATATTATATCTAAATTAAAAAAATGCCTATGATATTGATAAGGAAACAGTTGCAAATCCAATAATTAAAATAATTGGAATTAACAATTTTGAAAATATGTTGAGCAAAAACTTAGAAGATGATATCAATATGCGAAGTTTTAATGACTGACAGAAAATGTAAACTACTACATTCATATAAAAATGAAAAAAATATAAACTACAAACGGTTATAGTGGAAACGCCAGCGTAAATTTACCAACACATCAGAGAGAACAATAGTAAAATTCAAAACTGCAAAGTTTTTGATTTAATGAGTGTTAAGCCTTGCTACAATTGTGGGAAGTTTGAGCACAATAGAAAAAACTGTTGGAACAATTCCTCATGTTTTAAATGTACTGGACAACATAAAACAAGTGAGTGCAATAATTCTAGTGAAACAAAGTGTGCAAACTGAGTCTTTAATGATGTGACTTTTAACACAAACTATAAGACTAATCACGTGCCAACTGACAGCCACGAATGCGAAATACTAAAAAAAATTCAGAAGTTCATTTTCACCACGGACTACAGCGAAATGTCTACTATAGCGAGACATATCGGTAAGGAAGATAATTACCAACAAATGATGGCATCAAGGATACATGGCTTATCAACATCATCACTTCGTACAATCAACGCGAATATTATAAACAGACGAAAAGACTCAACCTATCCATGGATCAAGATACAAATTATTAGTATGAGTATAGTCCACAGAAGGAAATAATGTTTGATGATGTAAAGACACTCAATGAGGATTTTTTTATAATGAAAGCAAAATAAACAAAGCAGACGGAGTAATAATGTATATAACAGATGATTTAGATGAGAATACCTAGATAATAATCTGATAGAGTGAGTTTTGTTAACTCTAATATAAATTTAAAGGACGAAGAAATAATAAAGGTATCTGCTCTTTATAGATCTCATGACGTGCCAAAACTCGAATTTGTAAATAGTCTCAACAAATTTCTAAAAGCAAGAAAATACCAAAAATCACTGCATTATAGGCCTTTAACATAGATATTTTGGATAAAAATTTTATCAAATATGATAAGAAAGATAAATTTAGTGAATATAAAGTAGTATCAACAGGAGTCCATCAAGGAACGATACTAGGACCACTATTTTTCATACCTTATGTAAATGACCTATTGAGTAATATGCAAAATGGTACCTATGCCGATGACACTGTCATTATCTCAAGCGACGACACGTGGTCTCTAGCTGAGGACAGAATGAATGTTTATCTGTCCCAGGTGACAGACTGGCTATCTCTAAATAAATTATCTTTAAACGTTGATATAACTGTGTCTATGACTTTCGGCAACTATTGCGATAGTGTACCTGATACTTTAAGTATTAATATAAAAAACCAAACGATAAAAAGGTTTCAGTGTCACAAGTACTTAGGATTTTTATATAGATTATAATATGAAGTGGGATAATCATATCAAGTGCATAATTAAGAAGACTAAATATTTAATATTTACCTTTGCTAAGATTAAAGATCTCATGGACACTAAAAGCCTTTTACAGTATGGAATAATTGCATAGAGAGGAGCTTATGATAATAACCTTATTTCAATAAAAAACACACAGAGCAGAATTTTGAAAATAATAAAAAAAAAAACAAATTTTCAGTAAATTCTTCCCCGCTTAAAGTAACGCAATTATATCAGCTAGAAGTCGTATCATATCATTATGAAACTTTGAAAGAAATATGCACAAATAGAACTAGGAATAAAAGCATACAATTGCCTAAAAATCAAGAAAAATATAAGTACCAAAACAGTTATTTTGTTGCCATAAAAATCTATAACAATTTGACAAACGATCTCAAAATTATGAATATCAATAATTCTGACAAAAAGAAAAAATTAAAAAAAATATTAATAAAATTAAATTAAATAAAATATTAGTTTGCCTATTTGACTTTTTTCATAGTATTCGCCGTTTTTCTTTGACTTTATTTATAATTTTATATTTGTTTATTAGCTAAACCTATTTTTTTTAGTATTTAAGTAATTTTGGTCCTAGTTTGTAAGAATACCAGCCCATGTACAGGAAATTTGATTACCTTTTATGGAAGTTATTATGTAATTCTACCTATGTACACGTGGCTATGATCACCTTTGGGGTTTTGATTTGTAACTTTTTTCTGGTTTAATAAATACAAATACAAATATTTATTTATTTTGTCTAGGTAGAATTAGTACTTGGAGTAGCCTATTTTTTCTCGAAGCTTNTGTATTTATTAATTTCGTCTGCGTAGAATTAGTACTTCAAGTAGCCTATTTTTTCTCCAAGTTTTTGTTAATCATACCAATTAAATAAATTTAAAAAAAACTGTTTCGTGGTTAGACGTGAAAAGGTAATATCTATGTTTCAATGATAAAGTAAGATTGGAACGATCAAAATTGGCATAGTCCGCAATAAATTAACTGTGACATTTTTCTTGTTTCCGTTTGAGACTGTAGTCATTTGCTGTGTTTTGAATACGCCCTTGTTAAGTTAAAAAATTATTCATGAGTAGTGCAGACAAAGTGAAAAGAGATAACCAAATAATAGTAATCAGTGTCAGATTTATAACTACCTGGTTGGAATTATAATTTTACAAAAGCGTCTTTGCATTCCTAAATTCCTGAGAATGTTCAACTTTCTTTAAAGTCTGATGTTACACATCTATGGTGCAATGTTATTCCTTTTTCTTTAATAGTGTGTGCTGCAATTCCTACCTGACATCTCTTTTCTCTGTTTACGATATTTCCTACAAAGTTTGTAGTGAGTAAAAGTAGACGTTCTGACAGAAACCACTCTAAATAGTCCAATAAATACGTTGAAAGAAGAAAGTAATTGCGGACTATGTCAATTTTAAACGTCCCAACTATAAGTAAGTCGATAAATGATGTAACTAGAAACTGTAATAATTTATTTTTAACTCATTTTTTTAATTAACAAATATTAATCAATAAATTGTAAATAAGTTGTATTTTTCCTTGACAAACAACCTAGACTATAGCAAAAATTAATAGTAATACCTCTAAAGAAAGCGAATTATTTGCAGCAATCTCTTGCTATCTCTTTTATGACACGCTTACGCAATATCGTGAGAGAGATGGATATTGTGCGAAACTTCGTTCCATCTCTTTCTTTCGTTGTACCACAATTCTGACCGCTAAGGCACGTCCATTAGTAGACGTCGATGATTTGCACACAAAATTTTAGGGGCCGCATGCGTCCAACAATGTCGTCTGCCCATTTGGGTAAGACGGTTACCGATCTACGCTTCTCCCACTCTCAACATGCTGCATTCGCTTCAATAGTGTGTGTAGCGCTTAGCGGATAGCGGACCCTGCGCTCGCGACAATGATTAGACGGAACCGTCGGCAGCGACCCGACGCATACCTGAATTTACGACTAGTTCATATTTTATTTTCGCGACAAAAAGTAGCCTATATGTTTCTTTTAGATCTCATCTCAGGAGGGGAAATCATCAAAAAACACCCCTGAACAACTAAATATACTACAGAATGTCTTTATATACAACATTAGACATTACAAACCGGCCTCCCGGCCGATACTACCACAACCGCTATGTCCGCGCATTTTGAATCTGTAATATCTTCGAAAATATTGATTTAAATGTAAAGGGTCATATTGATCTATATTAAATGCACAATGTACTTAAGGTACTTAATTGGATAAGAATTAATGCTGTATTGCTTAAAATCGCTTCGTAAATAAGCCATTATTTCTCATAAAAAGTAAAGGATAAAAAATGGTTATTGTGGGTTATCCCTAAGAGATAGACATATACCATAGCGGACTTTTTTGTAGATCTTTTTAAGATGTACAATACTGTAGTACATTATTTTGATCTATATCGTAGGGTTCAGCCATCGTTTGCAATGTAAGCGCAAAAAATGTATTTATTTACATCACACTAGAAACCACTAAAATTATCAGTGTTTCTCTACTATATTATGCATGTATTATACATATAAACCTTCCTCTTGAATCACTCTATCTATTAAAAGAAACCGCATCAAAATCCGTTGCGTAATTTTAAAGATCTAAGCATACATAGGGACAGACAGCGGGAAGCGACTTTGTTTTATACTATGTAGTGATATAGACATAGATTTTATAGCGACAGATATAAGCCGAAGTTCATTGCTTTTTCTTTTCTTTCTCATTGGATAATAGCGTTATTGAGTACGCCTTCCCAATTAAAATAACAGTATCAATTTGGCAGTTCCGGTTATACACCATTTTATGATTAATATAAATTATTTTTTAAATGGAACGCCCTGTATAATATGACGATTTTGAATTCTACTTTTGACTTTAGGTAGACTTTCCTTTCCTACTTCTAAGGTTTACCGTTTTCAAGATATTAAGTTTTTTTAAAAAGTCACAGAACAGTAGGTACTATAAAAGCATGCCTACTTTACAGTAAGAAAGCTGGAGCAATAATATTTTCAGAAGAGGTAGCTATACCCTCTAGTTTCCCGTCCATACTTCAAAGTGGGTTAATTACATATAGGGCGTTGGATATTTAATGACAGATTTGGTTCACTTTAAACAATTTTTCAAATAAAACACCTTGTATGAAGTAGACAGAATTTTATTCTCTTTCGAATGGTACTATGATTACCTATACCCATCTCCTCTAGTTTTCAAATTACTTATTATAAAAACAACTAAAATAGTTTAATTTTTTACGAAGTTGGTCGTAGACTCATGCATGGATATCGTAGCTGGAAGAAGCTACTACACTAATTTGCGCCTACCTAATGATGTTGGAGAAATTTTAAATACACTATTACCTAAAGAATTAAGAGTTCACCAACAGCTAACAAAAGAGTTGGAAATTTGATACGGCTAGATGCACTTAGCTCAGCCTATTACGGGGAGAGTTGGCAAGAACACATGTCAGATGTCGCAAGACTTGTTCCTTTCGCCTATTCAAATACATCCAACAAAAGTTGGCCATCAACTGGTGTGGACTATGACATACAACAGTGTCTTAAACTGGCCAAGAACTCTTGCTAATACATTAGAGTATGGTGTCGTTTCCAGAAGCAAGCTACAGTGTGCGGGCTAGACAAGCATGAACTGACTGATGATAAGCTAAACGACACCTACAGGGCCATGTAACGACGCGGCAGAGCAGATGTTGATTCTGGAACGGAAACCTCCAGGTTTAGTTGTAGTGACAAAAACGATGAAAGACCGAGCTGACATTGTGCATTGGTTGCTAAAATAGAAGACAATCAAATCTTGGGCTTAGATGTTCTCCAGAGATGTGACCTTTGACTGAGCTTCCAGAGAAAAGTCCTGATATTAAATGGGGATACATTCGAACTCCATGCGCAAGACACTTCTGCTTCCCTAGTTAAAAAGAGGGCATGGCAACAGACAAAATTCAACGGATTCCAGAAGTTTTGTTCGAGAAAGCCAGCAAAAAAAGCAACCCAACTGAGCAACGACAACCAATGAAATTACTCAAATAATTAATAATAATAATTATACGCTGTGTTCGAATAGGAATATGGAAAGAAGGGGCGAACCGATGTCGTTGTCCACAAAGTAACCACGAGCGCAACCTATTCCACAGAGACCAAGAAGACTACCACTGACCAAGAAGGAAGAGGCCGAGAAAATCACATGCGGTATGCAATAAGACGGGATAATTGAACTATCGACCAGCCCTTGGACTTCGCCGATAGTTTTGGTCAAAAAATATAGGTCAATACGTTTTTGTGAAGAACATCGGCAGTGGAACACCGTAGAATGCTACTTCCATTTGACGCCAAAAGGGTCAGAGCTGCAAGTACCGATATGATCTTTCGAAAGGACAGTACATGATCCGGAGGGATCATCCTTAAGAAGGATGCAATGTTAAAAACGCGAAAGTAATACCGACAATATAAACAGGCCTTAAAAATAGAACATAGTTGTTACTTTTGTTTTTCCAATTATGAGTTATAATGATCAGGTTTTAATCCTAAAAATATTTCAATACTTTAATGATAATACTAATGTGTTCATTTACGACCACTTCAAACTGTTATTATGATCTTATGCCTGTAATTTTATAATAATTGTTTACTTAATATGATTTGTGCACTCATTATTAATTATTAATTGAAATTTAGTTCTTCCTTAAATTACTTTGTGAGTAATTTTTCTTGTTAAAACTTATGGATGAGTTCTGCATTAGCCATCAATTGTTCTCTTATATCTTTGTAAATTTCTAAAAAGGATTAATTTCCCGTTGAAATTCTAAATAAATAAATAAATAAAAATATTGCTGTATAAAGTTATATTTCGCCTTTCCACTTTTTTAAGAAATACTTACTTTATGCCTATTTTGCAGTTGTACTGGAAGACACATATTGCACTTCTTACAGTGAAAGAATTTATCTGCTCCTCCAATTCTACAAATTCCACAACCATTGCAATGATATTGATTTTTATCCTCATCATCAAATAGATTGCACTCCAAGCAAGTATACTAGAATTAAAGATAAAGTTTCAAAACAGATTTCATATTCTTATTTAAAAGTTATGAAATAAAATTAAAAATACTATCAAATTAAGGTATAATTAATAATGTCTTTTTGCCCTTTTGTGAACGCTTTTAAAACACATTGCTTCAAAATATGTTACGTGAAATCGGTTGGTGTATTAAGACGTTAGATAAACTTTTGACAAAAAAAAAACAAGAGAATGGTAATTATTTACCTAATAAAAATTAAAACCATTTAAGTGAGAAAATTATGGGTGTTTAAATTAATAGATTTACAATTCATCATTTGGTAATTCATGGAAGTGTAATGCTTAATCATGGATAGTAACAGTCATATCTATGGTGGATATGAACAAAAAATGTGTAAAACTGGTGTAAGACGCACTTATTGTAATAAGCTTTCTTTTGAGCTGCCAGAATAGAAAACATCAAGTAGGAAATGAGCATAACATTTTAGTATACTGTGATAAGTTAATTTAGATAGCAAGATATCTCAGATAATGGAAAATCTACACGTTATTGGTAAGCAATAAGTAGATTCTCAACATAAAATTCAAAAAAAGTTAAAAGGTAAATTTTTAGAAAACAACTGAAAAATCACTAAAAGATATGGTAAAAAAATATCAGTCACGGACAGCCTCATTAGAATAATATCAATAAAAATGACAGCTGTTCTAATGAGTCATATGCAAAGAAAGTCAATAAATTTCGGACACAAAACGTGACAGTTATAACAAAGGAAAAAAAAAACATTTACTGAAGTTAAGAACAAAGCAAATGTTAAAAAAGTCCGTATTAAGAAAATTAGTCCTATTAAGTATCATCATAAATGATGTGATTAACAAATTAAAAATTGAAGCTTCTGAAGATGTTTGCAGACGATCTCATCATTTTTAAAACTTGCCGATTCTTGAAGAATATAGATATAGATATATGTCTATTAATTAATTCAGGGACCTTCTTGAACAAAGTTGACTAAAAGTTCCTGCCCAGATCTGCTGCTGCATTCGTTCACGATTTCCTCTTTTCAGTCGCTTACTGAAGGCGGATATCGAGCATTTACTTCACAAATCTTTCACATCGCTTGTACTTTGTAAAATCGTTCGCATACCTTCCCATCGTCTTGAACTGTTTCTAAGACTTCTGAAACTGTGTTCTTCAGAAGTACCATTTGATGTTTGTTTCTGGTTTTATCTGGAATCATTCGTTTCAACACGCCGTGGTCTAAGGTAAAGGAACTCCACTGAGCCCAATAATTTTTGGTTGTTTGACTTAGGTGGCTTACATCTTCCCACAATCGTCTTAAGGTTCCATCTTCTTTTCATCCCATTATCGGGCCAATATCTTCGTCTTCTCTCTGGCCTTCGATTAATTCCTTATCTCTCATGAACCCTCAGACAGAACGGTGGTTCGCATACAACGGATCGATGCCAGTTCTTCCTTCTTCTCCGCTGATGAAAAATGTTTGCAGTTTTCGACGCAAGGTCTCCGGGATAGCGCACCTTACCGTGTTGTTTGCCTGGGCGATGCTCAATGTCGAACTCGTATTCTTGAAGTCATTGTAACCATCGTGCAATTTGCAGAACCACTTCAGCGAGGCGTGATCCATTTTTAATAGAAACTGCCGTCCATGGAAATGTAAAGCGGTTTTAACCACAGCTAGTATATCTCGATGGGTGGCACAATAATTTCGTTCCTGTTTCGAGAGTGTATAAAAGTACCCGATGACCTTTTCCTTTCTCTTTTGTACGTGGGATAACACACCACCAACTCTCACATTACTAGTGTCGGCATCAACTATGATGTGTTCGCTGAACCGTAGGTATGTCAAAATGGGGGCTCCCGAGAGAATAACAGATTTTTAAATGCTTTTTGGCATTCGAGTGTCCATTGGAATGAAACTCCATCTGTAAGTCTGTGTAGTGGTCGGCTTTATATCAGCAAATCCTCGTATAAATCAAACCAAACAGATTTTACAGTTAACTCCTTGTAATACAGTGTACATAAGTCTTTCGAATGTATCCGGTGCATTGCACAATCCAAAAGATATCGTATTGAACTACCATATACCATTCCAGAAGTCTTCTCCTTATCCTGCGGATGCACATGCACATGCTGGCATCCACTTTTCAAATCAAGAGTAGAAAACAATATAGTTCCAGCTAGACTGTTTAGTGTGTCGTAGATTCTGAGTAATGGGTAGCTGTCCTGCATTACATCGTTTAGTTTACTGTACTCCACGCAAAATCTCATGGAACCATGTTTCTGGTGTACCAGTATTATAGGCAAGGTTTAAAAACTTTGAGATGATTCGATCATCCCTTTTTTATGCATACATGGAGTTCGTTGAGATAGTTACTTGACTGTTTCACCAGTTCTGTTAAATTTGCAGGAAGTGATGTCGGTTCGATCGACCACTATAACTGCTGCAGTTCCCAGCAGAATGACCAGTCTTTCATCATTCCCAAAATTTTGCGCTCCGTTCTCCTGTGTTTCTAGCAATGGATTTCTTCATATCGATTACACATTTCCTTATAAACGACATGACACCTTCTTTTGTAATTACACTATCGTCGATTGCTGCTTGTTGCACCCGTACATGACCTTTGAAAGCTTGTTTCGCCGCTTCAAACTCCAGGGCGTGTGACAATGCTTCATTAGTTCACTAGTTGATCGTCCCTTAATCTATCGATAAATATTTCTAATATCATTTACCTTTTCTTCTTATGTTGCCGCCTCCGGCGAGTAGGGGCATTGGTGGAACTCCAGTCTGTCATAAATCTACCTAACTAATGACATCAGCAATGCATATACATTTCCAAATAGCCTGCTGTATCATTGCCTACTATTACATATATCATGGACCACCACATATTATTTTTCAACGTTCGAAAACTGCTTCATTATGATTTACGAGCCCAACATATATATACGAGGTGTTTCATGGTGACCTCCCATTAGTCTATTTCGGAAACTACTTCGATTTGAATTTTGAAAATTTTAACAATAGCATTATTGGGTATGCTCTCCTTAATTAAAATAACGGCATCTATGTAGCACTTCCGGTTATACAGGAAGTTAACATCAACTTCGTTATTTTAAATGGAACATCCTGTATATTATGACGGTTTTGAATTCTACTTATGATTTTAGATTGACTATCATGATGCTTTCTTACTTCTGAAATTTACCGTTTTCCAGATATTAACTTTTTTAAAAAAAGTAACACAGAGCAGTAGACAGCAAAACAGCATGCCTTCTTTACAGTAAGAAAGCTGGAGCAACATTATTCTCAGGAAAGATAGTTGTTTTATGCTATCCACTGCTCTATACTACTTTTTTCAAAAAAGTCAATATCGAAAACGATAAATTTTAGAAGTATGAAAGCCTTATGAAAGTCTATCTAAAGTCACGAGTAGAATTCAATATTGTCATAATATACAGAGTGTTCCATTTAAAATAACGAAGTTAATGTCAACTTCCGGTATAACCGGAAGTGTTTCATATATGCCATTATTTTAATCGAGCAGAGAATACCCAATAACGGTATTGGACAAACTAAATAATACACTAAATCTACAGTTTCCTGTCTAAGTTGAAACCTGAATACATTAATTTTATGCAGTGTTCTACGTGGTGCACATATCCGTATATTTTTCGAAAGGAAAAAAAAAACTCGTTCCGAAATATAGCCGCGCGTTCGGAAGGGAAGAATGGAAAAAAAACCAATGATGGTAAGCCGAACGCAGTGCTTGCATACGTTTTTGCTTACCCGCCACACACGAACTGAAATTTTCCTCAGAATCGCGTCAGCACTGTGCCGAGTGGACGTTAATTACCTAAACTTTTTGGCGATCTGTCCGTTTAACACTATTTTATTACATATCTAACAAACTGTGTGAACTCGAAAATTTAATAATATCTGAATAATATCATCAAAAGATTTTACTGACATCTTGCAAAATTTTAAAAATTCTTCTGGGTCTCGTAATTTTGCTCTTTTGAGATAGAATTGGCACTTTTATTCTCTGCGTATTTAATGGGTTTCCTGTTTTTCATGTTTAGTGCCAGTAAAGGTGCAATCGAAATCAATTCGTCGCCGTTGTCCTTGTTATGAAACGTATTTTCACGAATGCGTGACTCAACATACTGGTAGTATAAATTCCTAATACAAAAATCCAACGTCTGCGCTAGTCATTTACCGGAATTCCGTATTAGGAAATTGAATGTGGAAACCATACGTTTGCGGCCGACCTGTAGGGCTTAGCTTTGTTCTGAAAGGATTCAGAATGTGACGTTTAGAAAATATGGTCTTTGTCACTATGTATGTTGGGTTGTCTGCATGTTGTATTACATATAAAAGAAATTATGAGTGCTGTCAGCACAGGACAAAGTAGTATTACCTAGTTAGTATCAGTAATTTCTTATGCTGAAGTGTACGATGTGTTGCATACCTATTTACAAACAATTCCTTTAAATTTAATTTTTCAAACAATTTTTAACACAAAGAAAGTGATTAAACAAACTGTTCACAAAAGTGAATTTCGACCACTCGAAGCAATGGTGCTGACAGTTTTGAGCTAACAGTGACTGATAGGAGGAAAGAACTAGTAGTAGTAAAGTAATTACTGATCGTGAAAGTGATTGTAAAGTAATGCCTTATAACTTCTGAAGTAGATAAAATAAAAAATATCTAGTAATAAAGAGGTACTGCTAATCATTTAAAACTTAAAGATCATGCTAAATAAATCATAAGTGAAGCGAGTAAAAAAATTAACAGTATTGGTACCGGACCCTAACGAGGAGAGCAGGTATTCGGATTTTTATTTTTTCATATTTATGGTGTTTTAAGGTCAACAATAGGGCATAAACTTGTCGCAGCAGTGGTGTATGCTTTTCAACCATTTTCGAGAAAATCAAATATAAAAAAATACCGTGCCCTTTTTATTATGGATTAAATTGTGCACTACTATCAAGCGAGATGCGTAGCCAGAAGCATAGCACTGTGGTCTAGTAACCCAATGTTACGGGTTCGAATGTATGTGTGTATGGGAATTTATTTCTTTCATTCGTTTTTAACTAATTTATATGTCTAATTTAAAATTTTTAAAATCTTCAACTAAAAAATATTTATTACTAGACAAGATACAACAAATGAAAGACTGCAACACCATTTGGAAAGAAAAGGATAACGAGAATGCTGGGGTATATAAACTCGCTCCGTTTACGAAAAAACTACTGTGAATTTCCTGCTTCCTCCCAGTTAGTAAAATTATAAATGTGTGCGAATAATAAACATATTTATATTGCTGTGATATACACTTGAATAAAACTAATAACCTGATTAAATTTACTTTCAATTCGTCGAAATAACTATAACTTAGGCTAATTGATGTGCATCCGCTCTTCTGAACACAACGTAACTCAAAGAAGCTGGAAACAGACTAACAGTCATCAGCTGAAGATTACCAGCGTCCAGGGCGCATCATAGGGCGTAGTTATGCCACCGTTCATCCTATTTTGGTCTAGTAATAATTATTTTTATTTAATTTTGCTTGGGACATCCTACTTTCTACTCCGAAAAGTTATTTTCATCGATCGTGTAGGAGACTTGAAAAGTGTCAAAGGAAACATTCGATTAACAAAATCATTGATGTGTGGTTCCCATCTTAGATTGGAATAAATCTAAGTACCTAAAAATTTCGTTCCGTTCACATTTTTTATTTCTTCATTATCTATATGTAAATTAAATTGAGTCGGTGATAGACGATATCAAGTGCTTTTCGTAAATCTAGAAAAATGGTAGCTAACGGGCTTACAATATCTACTATTTTGAGTATAGCCTTTCAGTGAGGTAAGAAATGGCGTGTTCTATACTATATCCTTTTCTAAAACCCTATTAGTGATCGATTTTTATTTTATTTCTGTTTAACAAATTGACAATTCTTTTTTTATTAGTTTTTTTAGAACTTCAGTAATGTTTGAATGTAGTGCTATTGGACTGTAATTTTTACAAAGGTAGCTTTCTCCTATATTATAAATTGGGATTTTGGTAGCAGATTTTAAGACACTCGGAAAAGTTCCAATTCCAATCATTAGCTTAATTATATGGAATAAACCTGGTAGTATATTGTGTTTAATAGTTTTATCATTACTGTAACGTTATCCAATCAATTTTCTGTATTTGTTTTTAGTAAGTTTACTAGGAGTTCAACCTCTGCACAATGACTTGCTTCAAGGAAAATCAAATGATTAGGGGTAGTCAGATTACATTCAGGGCAATTATCAGGGAAATTTTTTGTTAGATTTTTGGAATTCATAAAATAATTATTGAAGCAACTTGCTATAGTACTTTTGTAGGTGTTTTTTTTTGTCGTGTTCCTTGATATAAATAATTTTAGTGTATTTACTAATTATTTTTTAATTGCTATGAATATTTTTATTTATAAAGTCCCAGAGATCTTTTAAATTTTTAAAACATTCTCTTTATTTTGAGTAAAATTTATCTTTCACTTCTGCTACGACTTTTTTAGAGTATTTTTGAATCGTTTTTCCAGATTTTATACAATTTGTCTTTTTTATTATAACATTTAATAATCGAACTAGTTAGGTACCCACAATCTTTCCTTGGTCTATTTTTTGTTTTAACTTTCACACTTTTAATAATTGAGCTTTCTCTTAATTCAGTCAATCTTTGAATTCAGTAGCATTGTTTACATCATTGATTTCAGCAAGAGCTCCAATTTACACTTTCAGCTAATTGTTTCATTTTATTCTAATCTATTTTCTCTAGAACTTCAGTATTATTTATTGAGATGTTGGTTTCAATATTTATTCCTCCCTTTTTCCCATGTTGCTTGTATCTTACGAAAGTAACTTTAAGATTGTCTTAAAGTAGTTTGTGAAGTAGTTCCAAGTTTAAGTTTTCATTTCTGACTTGTATAGTGATTTCTGGTGTTTGTTCCAATTCTAAATTGTTTTTTGATGTGACTGCTACATTGGCATAAAGGTTTCTTGATTAGTCCTTCACCGTTTATAGTAATTCTTTTAAAATGTTATACATTTTTTTAGTTCATCATTTAACTCTACTGATTTTCTTCTTCAGAATATCGTTATAAACCATATATTCCTCATTTATTGATATTCCGCCAGTATTTAGATTTATTTCTTTGGATAAACTTTCGATTTGTTTTAAATATTTTCCATACTCCATATTCAAGCCCATACAGCATTAATCACATTTTGTTTTTAAGTTTTAAAAACTTTTCTTGTCAACATTTGCGTTGTTGGTGATGTACTCATTATAATAGAAGTTTATAAGATAGCGTTTTATATGTAAAATACCTTTCTCTTTCTGAATACAAGAAAAGTGAAGCACATTATCACAGTTTAAACTAACAGCAATTTTTGGTCCTGATCTCTTTCCAGAACTTATCTAATTTTTCTGTCTGCGTATACAAATCTACGCCATCCAAGGTGGCGGGTATTTTCTTTTTTATTTTAAATAAACATTTATTAATCTAACTCGATCTTGTAGAAGTTTCTTAGTATTATCATAAGCTTTTATAATTCCAATAGTATACTTAAGTATACTACGACCTAAATTTTCCTGTTATGGAAGCTTGGAATATTAATATACTGTTGTTTTTGAGATTTATGCTAAAATATACCTGTTTACGTATAGTTTTTGAATGGTAATAAATCTTTGTCAATTTTACTATAATAATGATAATCTTTCCCATTCGGACCTACTGAATTGAAGTCGAATAATATCTTTTTGAAAAGCAGAAAATTAGTTAGCCTTTGACCCATTTTAGTAGTAAATTAAAATCCTCACCTAACCTAGATTATATTAGGTGCTTAAAAGTTCACCCCTCATAAATGAAGCTCCAAATACAATATTAGCTGCTATTGGAACAATGTGTTGCGAGTGGTGCCATTTGAAAAGTATTTACCTAATTGTAAGCTAAAAGTAACCACTGAACCCACAATTTAGTGAGTCAAAATCAAGACTTACTATATTACTAAACTTTAATAGTATTTTTGAAAAGCAAAACTACCTTTCCAAATCGTATTCCACAGTTCTGACATTCGGCTTGCACTGGTTGACGTGTGTCGCACAATGTACATATTAATTCACTAACTTCTTTTCGATTCATTGTATGATCTTCTCGTTCATCATGACAAAATCGGCAAGTATATACTTTATTGCAACAAGGAGTCTGAAATAAAAAAAAGTTATATCTACATGAATGCTACATATCAATGTATTTTTATGAAAATATTTTCCTAAAAATATTAAAACTAGACTTAACTAGCAATATAAAATAAAAGCACTTACAACAAATTTTGACTTTCTTTTATAATGTGCACAACCAGGAGATTTTATTGCCTCTTCAGGGGGGCCTTCTGCTCTTGGTGTTAAAGACATTTTCCTACAATTTACTACTTCAAAATAAATACTTTAATTTATTGCACTAGTTACTTGAAGTATAACTAACCTTTCGCAAATTTATAAAATATGATCCCAATATACAGTAAATATATAAATATATTTAAACCGTAGATAAAATTTGAACGTATTAATAAATTATTTATTTTGATTACAATAATACATTCATAGACAAGAATACATTGTAATTGATTGTAATCATATTGTAATACATAAAGGCAAAACCATAAATAAAAACGGATAAACGGAACTATAGGATAGAACTTATCATAGATAGGAACTACCTAGGTTAGAAAGTTAATAACAGTTAATAATGAGTTTACAAGTTTTACTACTTACTACTGAAACTCGCACGACTTTTCAGCACCATAGATAAGAGATTAAAGTGTATCACAGAAGAGACTCGCGGATGTTGTGTCATCTGGCGCTGAGACGACTGAACTAAAGCGAAAAGCGGGCAATTGAAATGTTTTTTTAAATTTGTTTTGTTGTATTTTAAAGGGAAATAAAGGATTAAGTGAATAATTGACAAGAAACAAGCAATCCTCTTAACAATTGAAGAAAACAATTGTAACTTGACAATTGTTGAATCTGTTCACTATGAACCGTAGCAGTAAAGTGTGACCTGCAATAGAATAGTTTGTTATAGCAACACCACCAATAAGCCGTTGCAAAAAAAAACAGGAAAAAAAATGTTACCTATATTTCACTGTACTGGTTTCCGTTAATTGTTCTTGTAATTAATCGTCAAGTTTCTTTACAAACCGCAGTTATCACGGATGTGATCGTGTCGTAATCGTTCCTGTACTTTATATAATATGATTAATATTGGAAATTCAAAGAAAATGGTACAATTTCGTAATGTCGTTAATACAACCTGCAACAATTCCTTGTGGGATTAAAAGACATTGTTGATGATGAGCGCTTTGAAGGAAGTAACAAAAGCCGCTGCAGTGAGGCCAGCATTTCGTGCAGCATGACTGCAAATGTTTCCGAAAGAAACAAGAAACAAGTTTTTTTGGGGTGGGAAAGACAATCCTTCATTGTGGAGGGAATTCTACAAGGCTGGAAATCCGTTTAATGTGTGTATCCGATTTTGAAGGGATGGTGGGACGATTGTACATTTACTGTCATTAAACTTCGAAATGGAAATTGCTTTTACCCACAATTGAGAATTTGCGACCTCCTCATCAGTGTAAATCGCAGTACCAGTATCAAAAAATGTTACAATTACAAAAAAAGGCTTATTAGGAATACTACATGACTTTTCCCGTAGCAATGTCAAGTAATATAAACACCGGAAATCGACGTTTGTAAGGGTAGTTACGTCAATACGGTAAGAATAAGGGAAAACTTATACTGGCGATTTGCTTTATATATTGTCCTGCGACTTTCAGCTTTCATAATTTTATTCGATATTTTGTGACGTACGTACATTGCTGTGACGTGGGAGTTTGGGTTATGTATAACGTCCTATTTTACGCACTTGTATAGGACCTTACAACACATTCGTCTTGCTATTATATTTGCGGTCGTATTTAATACTGATTGACGATACAGTAATACGACGTTTGTTCACCGTTGGACTCCCAACACCAGTCCAGCTGAATATCAGGTAAGTTAACTGTCCTTCAGTTCTTAGAGACCGAGTATGCAACGTCCCTATCGATGTCCTTCTATTTGTATATACCTTCACGAATAAGTCCCATAACAACAATTCCCGATATCTGCCACAAACCATTCTTAGAATGGCTTACCCCAAGAGCCCCGCATTCTTGGAGGGTCTCTCCATTGCGGAAATAATGACCCTAGCCGACGACCTTCAGGCCAAGCTCGCCACCATCCATGAATACCTTAGGCATTATTCATCAAAAGCATCCCCAACCCCAATAGCTGAAGACATTCCTCCTAGCACTTCAGCCACTTCTTCCCAAATTATTATTGGGAATTCGGATCCACCCGCCGCCAGCGCCGACGGCTTTCCGCTGCCATCGCCAAAAATCCCTTTGGCCAAAAATCCGCCGCGAAATGGACAGGAACGGTATCATCGCCCGCCGAGCAATTAATACCCAGGATTGCATCCGCGTCTACCCAAAATCCGTTGACGACTTCCGTCGCTTATCTTCCTTTCTCGGCGAATCAAAGGTCGAATTTTCCACTAACCAGCTCCAACAGGACAGAGACCTTCATGTCATTATCCGTGGAGTTTGTGAATATATTACCGACGACGAAATACTTCCGAACTGGCTTTAAAAGGCTTTTCTATCCGTGGCGTCCACCGTATGTCCAACGGTGGCAAAATCTGACCCCTTGTGTCCGTCCGTCTGGACAAATCCGCCCAAAACTCCAAGACAATTTTCAATATTGGTAAGCTCTGCGGGCTCAATGTCAAGGTTGAGCCTAAAAGAGCATCAAAAGACGTCCCACAATGCCGCCGTTGCATGAAATTCTTTCATACAGCCAACTATTGCCATGCAGCATGGGTCTGCTCCTTCTGCGGCCGTAATCACGTTACCGCCGAATGTAAGCCCAAGGACAAAAAGGACGCCACCCCCACCAGTGCCAACTGTAAGGGCAACCATCATGCCACTTACCGCGGCTGTCCCAAAGTTCCTAAGAGAACCGCACCCTCCGTGAAGGCTATCACCCCAGCCCCATCCTTAACAGCTCCAAAGGTTACTCAACCAACTCTTCGCCCGCAAGCTACTCCCGCAACGTCGATACCCCAAAAATCTTACGCCAGAGCAGTAAGATCAGCACCCCCACCCCCTCTGTGTCTAAGGCAACCGCACCCTTAGAACAGAAACTTCAGGCTATCGTCCAAACGATGGTAGCCAGCTTAGTCGCCGTCTTACAGAATCACCAATGAGCAACGCAACCCTCCCAAACCACCTTCGTATTGTCACGTGAAACGCCCGTGGCATTAAAAACAAATTGATCGAACTCAAACACTTCCTCGATGATCGGTGTTACTTGCATCACCGAAACTCACCTTGCTCACAACCATAAACTTTTCGTCCCAAATTTCACGACCTACAGAAGGGACCGTGAAAATTCCAGAGGCGGCGGTGTACTCATTCTTGTTAGGAACTCTGTTAAACACAAGCCTGTCCCTTCTGCTACAAACTCTTTAGAAATCGCCGGCATTGAAGTATCTCTCACATCCGGCCCTCTCAAGGTATTTTCCCTTTACTCACCACCTTCAGAGCGTAATTTCATAGAACTACCGCTTCTTTTCCACCAAAACATCCCGACCAAGTCGAATATTAAAGGCATATCACTTCTTGCCAAAAGTATGGACTTCAATCTAACAACTGAAGCTCCAAATTCTCCCACCTTCATTCCCGCCCCTACTAGACAGCAACCTGATATTTTGGACATCTTCGTCACGAAAATTGTCAACCTTTCCGCTGAACCGATCGCGCTAGACGCATTAGATTCCGACCACCTTCCGGTCCTAATAGAAGTCGGCCGCCCAATTCTTAATCCACCAAAACCAATAACTTCTCTAGATTGGCTACATCTCCGTTACATCCTTGAAACTTCTCCTGTCAAACAAGATTACCGACGCCATCGAGCTCTCCACATCTTCCCGTCCCAACTCGACCACGACCAAAATACTACCTCCGGATATTCTTGCCCTTCTCAAAAGGAAAAACAGGACTCGTCACCTATGGCAAAGGCACCGCAATCCCGTTCACCGTGCCGAACTAAATGCCATATAGCGTGAACTTAAATCTCGCCTTACGGAAGTCTGCAGCGCCTCTTTCGACCATTACATCTCGCAAGCAGAAACACACCCCCAAAGTACTTGGAAAGTGATCCGCTCTCTTCGAAACAGAGCTCCCCACCTTCCACCCCTAAAGCAAACCGGCACTGTCTACTGTTCAGACGAAGAGGAGGTTGCAGTTTTCGCAGACTCTCTCTGCCTCCAATGCTCTCCACTACCAAGCCCTGTGGATCTCGCCGTCTTTCATGAGCATACCAAAGCCACAGCTCAAAACTTCACCCCATTGATCCTGATTTCAAGCCTGCCTCCCCCCGTGAAGTTCACCTTATTATCCGATCTCTGAAATCAAGAAAAGCCCCAGGCGCTGACAAAATCCCCAACGGCGTCCTAAAAGCCCTACCGCCAAAACACGTTACCGCTCTCTGTACATCATAAACGCTATCATGCTGCTCCACCACTTCCCTTCGTTCTGGAAAGAAGCCATCGTCATCTGCCTCCCCAAAAAAGGGAAGCCTCTCAGTTCTCCCTCAAGCTACAGGCCTATCAGCTTGCTTAGTTCTCTGAGCAAAGTAGCAGAATCTGTACTACTCGACCGGCTTCTCGAGCATGTGGAGCGAAACAATATCCTTCCAGAATCCCAATACGGGTTCCGCCGCCGCCATGGCACTGGCCAACAGCTCCTCCGTGTTTATGAACATATTTCCGATAGCCTTAACAAACGTCTTCACACCGCCATGCTTCTTCTGGACGTTAAACAAGCCTTTGACAGAGTATGGCACGAAGGATTCATCTCAAAACTTATCGCCCTCAACACCCCACATTCCCTTATCGGGGTAATAAGGTCCTTCCTCTCGAACAGATCCCTTCGTGTCCGAGTTGGTTCTGCCCTTTCTCCCAGCAGACCAGTCACGGCCGGCGTACCCCAAGGCTCAAAATTATCGCCCCTTCTGTTCAACCTGTTCTGCGCAGACATTCCGTCCCACCCCACTATTCTCACGGCCCTTTACGCCGACGACATTGCCCTTATAGATTCTACAAAGACCATTCTACAATGCTCCGCTAGAATTAACAAATTTCTGCCCCTGCTCCTAAATTGGTACCGGAAATGAAAACTTTCCATCACCGAGACCAAGTCGGAAGTAATCTTCTTCACTCGTAGGCATCGTAAACCACCCTTTATTATAGTAAACAACAACCCCATCGAATGGAGCACTTCCGTCACATACATTGGCGTCGTTTTCGATAGAATCCTATTATGGCGCAAACACATCTTGGCCACCCGTGGCAAGGCCCTAGGTGCCTTCGTCTTCCTCAAGTCATTCTTTCAGAACAACTCCGTTTCCCTTCAAATAAAAATCCGCGCGTTCAACGCGATCATCAGGAGCATTTGCTCATATGCCATTCCCATCTGGGGATGCGCTCCTCCCCATCGCCTTCAACTCCTACAAGGCACTTACATGCGGATTCTTCGCTCAGCATTAAACTACCCCTGGTTCATTAAAAAT